AGTAGTAGTAGTAATAGTAGCAATAGTAGTAATGGTAGTAATAGTAGTAATAGTAGTCATAGTAATAGTAATAGTAATAGTAGTAGCAGTAGCAGCAGTGAATGCAGAGGTCGCATGACAATCGCAACCTCGAGAGAAATCAACCGTACATCTTCGTACCCTGGCACAACAAGACTTCGAACTACGACGGCATCATGCATTGCTCTCTTCTGGCTCATGCTGCAAGTATAAGCTTGAACAAGGACCGTGCCACCTGAACCCAAATTCCACATTTTGCATGCGGCATACCAGGCTGTGCGGAGCGGGCCTTCACCCTGTGGCAAAAGGAACTCAGAGGTCGTCTCAGGCCTGGCTGTCTTCATGAGAGCGGGGCCCAAGCGCTGCGACTGTTGGTGGTGTGAGACTGTGTTGATGTGAAGTGGTGGGTTTTCGGCGCATGCACTTCGGGCTATCCGGCCAGGCGATGAGGGTCATCTGAGACTGAACGTATAGCAGCCTTCCGCACTCTGCTGCCAATCCTGGTTGTAACATGTATCCTCGCGAGGCTGGGCCTACGGACCTGCTCAAATCTCTGGCATGGTCTACGTCTGGCAGGGTCAGGTTTTCTCCGAGGGTTTGCTGGGTGCTTTGGCGCTTTGCAAAAGTCGGATGTGTGGGTGGCGACGAGCACTGATGCTGTGCAAACATGGGCTCTATGGGCTCTGCATGTATCGCCGTCGAGAAGGGCAACTCGCGAGATCCGATGGATGGGCGGGGCTGGACAGCTATCGTGTTCTGGCTGCTCTGGTACATGGACGTGTACATGCAGGACTGCCAGAGTGGTCAGGTAAGCGCATGCTCATCTATAATCTTGCTGGCGAAGAGCTGGCATATTCGGCCAATCTGGTACGTGCTGGCAATAAGTCGCCATGTGGTCGCCCCAGCACAGCTAGACTAGAAACCCTTGTCAGCAGAAACTGTCGCAGTGACTGTTTATCAACATGCTGGGATATGCTGGGAGAAGCTCGAATGCAGCAGGTGTCTTGTGGAGCAGCCCAGCCTGACTCTTCAGGTTCTTGTTCTCTATTTGCCATGCCTGTCGGGCGCAGTCTAGCCTGCATGCACGACCCTGTGGCCCCCAGCAGCACTAGTAGCCGACACAATCCTTCATCCAAACGTGCGAGAACTCTGCGCTTTGTATTGTGCGGTCGGCCTTCTTAAATACGTCCTCGTCGTAGGCAAACGTGACGACCTGAGAGACTTCTGGCGACCGAAGAAGACCCTGTCATGACGGAGGGCGTCCACAACATGCGTGTTTTCCGATGCGGACAATCATACGCATTCTCGGAGACCGGGGTTGATGTGAACGTCAAACAAAACTCGCCTTGGAAGGGTCCCACAGCAAGATTGTGGGCTCCGTAATCCTGCCGGGACCTCTCGAAGCTCCTTGAGAAACTGCCACAAACACCGACATGTCTCTGTCGTAGCCGTTCCAGAGCCATTTCCGGAAAGCCCTGGCTAAAGAGCCGCCCTATGGCCTTGACAACTCGATGCTTTTTTCCACAGGTGGCGGATGCGAACACAGGTGCTAGAGACATTCTTCAAGTTGCAAAGAACTTGGGCTCTTCGGGCTTTCTCCATGCTCCTCGCGAGGGCGAACAATTCGCCTCGAGCAAGTCTCAAGCAAGTGTCCCGGGCTGCGGGATGCGGTTTCCACACCTCTGCTTGCATGTTTTGGGGAGTTCACGTGAAACTTTTTCCAGAATTTGCAAGGGTCCGGAATGGACGATACTAGCAACTTAACCTTAGCCTGATGCTCCGGACATGAGCTTGTGCATCAGTATAGCTTCCAGCAAATTTCAGATTGAAGAACCACAGGAGCAAAGCATGGAGGACGTCGTAGTGTCATCTCAGTAAGCCGCCAACTCTCAAGATAAGCAATTAACTGGAAACATGCCCTTCTCCCAAGCATTTCGCCGTCAGCAATTCTCGGAATAATCCGGAATAGTCCAGCCATCCGAGGACCAGGCAAGACCGTCAGCTCCTGTTGTTCTGTCATCCCTATTGGAAGGAATTGCTGTCTTAAGCTGTTGGGCTGGGTTGAGCACTGGCTGCGTGACATGGGCTATAGATCACATGAGCAAGTCAAACATGGCGATGCCTAGAACGACAGCTTCTAAGCTGTGCTCTGGACAATCTGCTGCCCGGCCTCTCGCAGCCCTCATGCCCTGGATCGTGATTCTGGCAACGTCCACTTTGCTAACACCTCGGTGGGACATGGTGGCACGCATGAGTTCCCGATGCTTGCAACGTGAATCTGCGTCGCCTGACATTCACTGTCGACCTGTTCTCGGCCTTGCCTTCACCATGCAGGACGCAACCACCAGAAAGTATTGATGCAGCTGCCAGTCGAAGCCAAATGTGCAGCACACATTTCTGAGCTGTCCTCAACTTCGCACCCTTATCCTGCAGAATGATAACTCGGACTGGATGAGGCTCCAGCTTTCATGCCGGTACACACCGCCACTGACCAAGCCTGTGTCTATGTCAGGGCCAGACTACAGGGACCATGCCGCGGGTAAGCAGTGGCTTCCTAATGCAAGCAACTGGGGCGCTGGCACCATCGCACCTGCGGCATCTAGCTGAATGATGCAAAGGCTGAAAAAAACAAATGCCACAAAGGGACAAGCAGGCTGTGCTTTGGATGACCCCCCCAGGCAGTCGCACGCACGGGATGACATCAGGTCCGCTAATGTCCAGCTAAACTGCCTCCTCAATGGGTGGCCCCGGCACCGGGCCACATGAGGTCTCGCGGATATCGTTGTACTCGGCCACCGCTTCGATCTCGCGACGGAAGCTCTTGCATGTGAGGTGCCCCAAGCATCCCAGTTGCTAGGCGATTGCTTTGGGCTTTTCGAAAACCTTCAACATGCAAGCTCTCGTTTGAACATGGGCGGTGAGCATCAGCAAATCCAGCTGTCCAGGGAGGACTTTTGCAAACAAAGGGTTCAATAGTTGGGGGTCCCAAGCTTTGTTGTTTCATGCAACAGCAGCTTTTTCCTGAATAAATTGCTGAGCAAACACAACACCGAGGCCCCCACGCACTTAACGATCCTACGGCGCATGAAAGAGCTCTGAAGTCAGTCAGAGCGGTGGTTGAAGTAATTTGGCGGGAATAAGCCTTTGCAGAATGAGGGGGTGCTTGCAACCTCCGGGCACCGGGCCGATTTGGTGGCCAATACCTCCAGTGACCTCATTGTGACAAAGGGCCCGACGCTGAGCTCATGAGGTGCTTTCACAGTCTTGCGCTGTACCGATACGTCACTCCATGGTTGGGGACAATCCCAAGCAGGGTTGGAGAAATCCATCGGCCTTCCCTGGCTGGGCCAAACGCTCCAGGAAGCGGTCCTCGTCGTAAAGTGGACCAGTGCCCGGGCCAAGCGGGCCCGTGGCACCCTCGTCACTCTCAGGTCTCAATGCACCGTTCGCTACCGCTATGGCGACCTGCTACCTCGTTGACCTTCCAATGGAACACTCACTTGAAGAACTGCTTCTACATGATATGATTATGAATGCTGCTGGGCCGGATAAAGAACCAGCTCGCCGGTCCTCATGGATTCAGTATTCCTACCCGAGAAAACTAATCTGATATGCATTCCTGACACGATACACGGTCACATCAACATGTGTCCACCGTCTCATGTTTTTCATTGCTTGTCTGTATCCAGTGTCTGCTGCGAACTCTCAAACAATTCGAGACGCATGCTCGCTACCCTGCCTCGCCCTTGGGTCCGACCACATACAGCATCGCCACATTTTTCGGGTGCCTGGAAGTCCGGTCTACAAAACTACGTGCGGCTCGAACCCATATGCGCGACTGCCCTTTTGTAGATCGTCGGAAGACCAGTTGGCCCTTTCTCTGTTGCATGGCCACATGATTCTCGAGTTACTGGTAGGTTTGAAGACAAGCAAAGACTGCTAGTTTCGCAGCCCCCTCAGCTCATCGCATTGGGCGCTGTTCTTGCTGGAAAACATCGATGAACACAGAGCCTGCCGGATTTCCGAACAAGCCACTGCGCAGCGTGCTAATCGTCTAGGCTTTTGTCGCTGCGACATCCTTGAAGCACTGGCAAGCAGGCGCAAATGGTGCCAAACTTTTGGACTTCATGCGAGAATGCCGACCATCCAATCCAGGAAGGCCTATAGCTCCGCGAAGTTCCGGCGAAGTGCCTTAGCGCTTTGACTTGTTGTGTTGTTTGCCGTGCCGTTGGGTGAAGGTTGATGACAAAAGGGGGATCACCATTAATCACCCAATAAACCGGAATGACCCTTACACAACCAATCTCGTAACCCGTGCGGGCAGTTCAATTTCCGTAAGGTAAAACTTCTGCAAAAAGCTGTAGCCACGCAGAAACCACATAGTCTGCCCGATTCTTACACGAATCTGCTGATATACCATGAGACTCTGCACAACTAACCGGGCAAGTTTTCAGACTAATTTTCCCAACCCAACTCAACAAACACCGTTGCGTTGCACATGCGCACACACACACACACACACTTAGAAAAGTGGTTTCTGCACTCGCGGACTCTAGCAGCGTTAACACATTGCGATGAAACACGATGAAGTTGATGATGGTGATGATAACGAAAATGAAATGAAAGTCTTGTTGCCAAGTATGCC